AGACGGGTCCAGAAGCCATCCTCATGTCGTCGCGCGGGGCTTTGCGATCGCCATGCGTAGCCATGTGAGGGCACAGGATTATTGCCTACTCTGTCCGATAACAGTGTAGCCGTCTGATCAGCAGCCTGTTCGTCAGAGAGTGGCTCTCCGCCAGCAATCATTGCCTGGTCCATATCGGTTGAATCGTCATCACCGTCGTCATTCTTTTGTGGTACGCTTGCAACACCGTGTGTGCGGTTGTCAAAAGACCGCCATTGTGAAAAGCAAATTTTGTGAGTGTGGGAAACTAAACATGAAGCGGTTCTGCCCCAGGGTTCATGCGAATTTCAATGGAATGTTTCACAGTGTCGTAATTTCTATTCCAGACGCCACTGATATCCTTAATTCGGAGATTTTCCGAATGAGCTAGCTTGGTTTTATGGGTTGCCATGTTTTTTATTACGTCGCTCCCTTCTCCGATTTTGGCTACAATGCGAAAGTAAGGCTTCCAATGCAAGGCGAATCTCGATGAATCTCCTATTTTGATCGTGGGATCGTAGTAGTAAACCGGATCGCCAATTTGGAATGAGGATGCTCGAGCTCTTTTTTCAACTAGCCTTTCGTCGTCATCCCGTGTTTGTTGAATGTCTTCTGTGACATGCTGAAGTGCGTGATGGATATTTTCAAACATTTGGGGAACATACTCATCGTCAGAGTGTTTGTAACGGGGTTGCATCAAGGTATCTACAGGAAAAATTGGATCTCGGCCATACATGAGAAATTATGGTGAGTATTTAGTTGTTTCGTTTTTACTAACTCTGTAAGCGCCTAAACGTGGTTGAAGTATCTGTTCCCACTTCGTGTGATCCTCACTAATGTTTTTGGCAATCATCTCGTCCAAGACCTTACGGAATCTTTCCGTCTTTCCGTTGGTCTGAGCGTGGTAGCTACTCGCGCGTATCTTAGCTATTCCTAACTCTTTGTTGACAGTATATATAACTGCATTGCAAAATTCGGTTCCTTGATGGCGCAGAATTGATCGAGGGCATCCATGACTGGGTATGATTTCATCTAAGAGTATTTGGGCTATTGTATCCGAATTTTTGTTAGGAATGGGATAAACTTCCGGCCATCCAGAGAATAAGTCGACCGCCGTACAAATATAAACGTTTCCTTTTAACGATATCGGGTGGGGTCCTGTCAAATCAATGCCGAGGTCAGTCATGGGAGCTCTTGGCGCTGGCATTTCTTGCAACGGACGTCTTTCCCTTTCAAACTTTTCCATATAAAACTTTCACAGGCTTGGACATTTGTGTCAATTTATTTTAACGTGTCCGGCCAAAAAATGATTTCATGACCCTGTCAGTGGTCTTTTCGATGCCTAAGTGTCCTCCAAAGTATCCATCATGCGCCCCTCGAAGGACTGTGCACTGGAATTTTTCACGAACCACTAGTTGAGCACTGGTCAAAGGAACGTGTTTTAGTGTCTGACGCTAAATGGTACTGTAAATAATCATCTATGTAATGTGCTTTTGCTTTTCATCGTCTCCCTCCAGTAGTTGTTGCGTCATTTTTTCTAATAAGGGGTCTTCCTTTCGTGCTTTCCTGAACTCGGCGTCTGTCCAGGACATAGCGACCCGTTCGGTATACAAGACATCCTTTGTGTCCTTGCTTGGTATCTGAGAATTGTCGATTGTATTAACTTATAAAGTATCAGCTCGTTGATCCTGCCAATCTAGTCGTTTACCACCTGATAAATTTTCCACTTGGTCCGACTTCGGAACTCTGGAGAGAAGATTTGCGGTGATATTTTTAGCACCACTGATGTACTCGATATCGCAGCCGTATTCACTAATCATGATAGCCTATCTTACTACCAGCCAACTGCGAAGCAAACAAGTCATTACAGCACACAGCACCACAGCACACAGCACACAGCACCACAGGACAGCGTTACATCTGGCCGTGGGTTGAAAGGTTCCACTCCCTACGGACAGTAAGGAGTTGGCTGTTGGTTGATCTCTCCGCGGCTCACAGATGAGGTGGGACGCATTTTTGCGTGTCGCTGGCCGCTAGTGAGAGTGGCAGTAGCACCCATAGGGTACCGTTGATGGGTCCGCGATCCGCAGAACATGAGATTCGCCTTTTAACTGCCCTCTCGCGACATCCAGAAGCGGGAAGTCGGAAAAGGGGGTTGGGCTGCCGGAAAAGTTGGCTGATTTTTTTCCGTTGGTGGATTGGCATACAGCCACAGAAAGGGGTTCACGAAGATAGCCACGAGTAACTGACCCTTAGCGGCGGCAGCGAATTCGATCACTGAGGGCACCGTTGTTAGAATCACTCCAGCGACTCCAGGAGAGGTTCGCACGTGTGAGTCGATGAGGGATTCCGGTTATTAAGTGTTATGAGCCGACGTGTGATTCCGGCGTGCCGACGAGGGATTTCTGGCATTATTCAGAGAAGATAAAGAGTGGGGGCTCGTGGTGATGCCGCGATGAGCCTTGCACCAGGTGGCTGCTATTCACTGGAGGTGAATTCTGAGGTATACGTGGTGTATGGCTATACGGTTTCGCTCATAACTGAGGGGGTCTGATCGTCACATCTAATCAGCAGGCTGTGTGTGACGACCACCCTACAGGCCGCCTTTGATATGGCCGGTGACAAGCAGGCATGACACGGTGTGAATGTATGAGTCCTAGATGCGGAATCTTTATAACGTGACGTTTACTACCCATGTTAGGACGAAAGCATCTGTTTGTAGAAGTCCACGCAATGCTGGTTAGCCAATGTTTTCGCCAACATTTGCATTCGCTCCCAGTCAGTCGGTTTATGACAGGGTAATACAGGATTACAATTGCCCCGATGGTTATCACCTGAGAATCAATATGGGGAGCCAATTAGCAAATGCCTCCATTAACAAAGGCATGCATAATTAATCTAGGCAGATATGATCATTGCTGGTAGACACATTCCTCACGAGCTTTTACGTTGTGAGGTTGATTGTACTGAGAACAGTCAGTATCTCTAGACTATTGCGAGCCTGCGGTGGCTGCCCTTCGGGCTAGAATGGCAGGCCGGCGATGCCAGGTGGACTGAGTGGCTGCGCGCTTCGCAAAGCCCCAATGGCAGGATCAATACGGGAGGCAAAAAGAGAGCCACATGCTGCCAATCATTATCACGCGCACAGCTGACCTGCACAACTAGATTGATATGTTTCATAAACGAGGTCATGCCGACGAAGTTGCCCTATCACCTCGCTGATTAGTATCTGTGCATGCATTCAACATATTATGCATTATACAACGTCACGTGCAAGTACGTAACTTCAAAACCACATAGGAACTTCATCTAAATTATGGAGTCAGTCACGGCGCGTGTTGCTTTGGGCAAGCTGCCTTTGGAGATCTCGTGATTGCCGTTTTGTGCCGGTAGGGAATCCGTCGGGATGATATTGCTGAGCAATGAGTTGCTCTTGCTCCTAGTTGCGCGGACGACCAGCAGGAGAAATGCCACTAAGATTTAGAGTTAAAGCAAAAGAGCTGAAAGAAGCACAACCAAACGAAGCAAGCGATATTGGGTGAAAAAGAACGAGAAGCCGCACGTGACATAATGGTGGGCAGTGTGGGAGATGCCGCCTCAGAGTAAAAGAAGAAAAGTAAGAATCTTGTCGAGATTCCTAAAAAATGAAACACCGCGCGTAAATCGCATACACATTTAACGGGTCAGTCTGCGAGGACTTGTAGTGACTGAGCTTTCGGTCGTCCGATAACGTAATTTACGGAAGCTCCCTGAGAAAGCCGGGATATATAAAACGGCAACTTCTGTCCCAAATTACGGGGTTACGCTATCCGCCCTCGACAGAACTAGGCACGCAACTTGCTTAAGAAAAGTGTTAACTGCCGTGCTACATACAACAGCGGATAAAGCCGGCTATGCTGAAGGAGGAGCAAATGAAAACCCAGTAGACCAATTCATGCCTAAGTCAGGTAGCTTCCTCTAACGTCTATTTTCTGCTGTGGTGTGGTGTAAATGAAGACGATTCGAAATTATGTACTGTAGCAGGTGTTCCGTCTTCATAATGCACCAATATTAGTGATGCTGATCAATAAACATGCAGCAAAACAGTCATGCGATCAGCTCGCAGTCAGTTATGTGGGAAGAGCCGGTCAGGGATAGTGACCGCCTATGGTGGACGCGGACAGGGCTCAGACAAGAAATATCTGATAGATAAGCCCTTATTTCGTGGATTTTTTTTAAAAGAAAGGTTTTATCGCTTGGTCCACATCGTTTTTGACGAAACCTTACCTTTCGTAAAGCAGGTGGTGAAATCCAGGCTCATGCAAATTTGACACACTTTATGGATGATTGATTCCAGCTCAAAATTCTAACCAACCTGCGCCTACCGTAATTTGGCTGCGAGCTGTGGAGGTAGATGCCTCTCCAATGACCCCAAATCCTGCCCCCTCGTAGAACTTCATCTCCCCGGGACAACGACGCTGAAACGGACGAAGGGACAATTTGTAACGGAAATTAATTGAGCTCATCGCAAATGCGAGATCGTACGACTTATCAGGTAAGTTAATGCACCAGAATGAACAGATGTATGTATATATCTAGTATGGCAGCCAGAACATTTATAATCTCCAAAATGAGCTGTGTGAAATAGTGTACTATGTCCTTCATCCTTGACCCCTCCTATCCCCACACCACCTCTACTTCTAGGTGGCTGGGGGGGTGTTCTCCCTGGACACCGGGCTCTCCTCCCAAGTAAAGCTCATTAAGTATGCGTTGGGACTGTCGCTCCCCATATTTTGAAACGTTGTTTCTTTCTACGCCCATGGATTTTTAGCGTGGAAGGCTAGGTTCACGGGCGTGAAACGATCCTAGTTTGCTCTGTTGACGTCATCCTTCCAAAATCCTTAACGACGCTAGTACCTGCCACTTTCAAATAGCGTCGCGCCAACTATTGGCGCGATTGATACATTGGACAGCGCCTTCGGGCGACGTCTGTGGGTGGATGGTGTGTAATTTGCCATGGTTGTGGTTGGCTGGTTCGGAGTCACCGCGTTCCGGCACCCCGTCCCCAAGACTGTAGGAATCGGGTTAGTCTGGGGTCTAGGTAGGAACCTGAAATTTTATTTAAAGCCTATTGTGCGCGGCGTCTTTATTTCTGTTGTGCACAAACACTCGGTGTCTGCCCAGGCACTTATGTTTGAAGTTGATACTCAATTTTGTTGTTAGTGTTGTGTTTTCATGCTCTGCTGATCTCTGGCCCAACTTAATACTAGCTGTGAAGTAACATGATTGACTTCAAAATGACATGTCAACCCAACACAATTGAGGAATTCTTGCTGAAAAATTGGCAAAACTGGCCCTAATACTGCCCCAACAAGATTTTGTTGATACCTGCCACTTTTTTGCAGACTAGTCACAGGGCACAGCCTGGTGTATGTACACATTGGAACCTAATGTTAAAAAGGAGCATTATACATCATTTGTCATGTTTAAGGCAGAACATGTTGTAAATAATCATACAACAGGTAGATTCATGCTCCTAGCTTCAAATTTTAATAACTGATAGCAAGCTCCCGAGATCCGCACACACTCACCAACCTCAATCCCCCTGCACCATTGCTACGTTATCAGTGTGTGGTCACAACATAGCTGCACATCAAGAACCATAAAAAATGTACTGGGCCAAGGTAACAATAACAATGCAATGACATAGTTTCCTATCATGTGTAGGTAAGTTAATGAAACAGGCAGGCCAGAATAGACCAGAACCTAGCTTAAACCAGCCTAAGCTAACCTAATCTTACCTAACCTAACCTAACCTAACCTGACCTAATCTAAAATAACCTAACCTAATCTCCCCACCCTATCCCCTTCAACCCAGTGTTCCATTGGCTTCCATGTTCCAAGCCATATATCTGAACCATATTAAGAAGTTTCATTTAGCCACCATGTTCCCATTTTGCCTTCCACTGCCCACCCAAAGATGTCATATTTGCCCCCCCCCCCCATGTCAACCAATCTACAAACAGTATGGAAAACTGCCTGGATACACAAGAAACATATTTCATTGGATTCTTGTTACCTTGGCCCCATACATTTTCATGGTTCTTGAAGAGCAGTAATGTTGTGGCCAGGCGTAGCAATGGTGCCAGGGTTGCGGTTGCTGTGTGGTTGCTGTGTGTTTGCAGTGCTCAGATGTTCGCTGCCATAGTTATTGAAGTTCCAAGGAAAGAGTTTAGATGACCTGTTTTACAAATATTTATGATAAGTTTTGCTTTAAAAATGATGATTGATGTACAGTGCTCTTTTTTAACATTAGGTACCAATGTATGCCATGACCCACAGCCTGAATAGCTGCACATAGTGTTATGACCATGAGTGCTGGCCTCCGAACCCGCAAAAAATAAGCTGCTTATATGATTGGGCCCTGAACTGGATGCCTTCTTGTGCTGACCTCAACCCAGGCCAAAGTTATCTCAGCTTTCAAATGATATATGTTTGAAAACATGTTTGGTCCGTATTTTTGCCCAAAATTACCATAGCAACGCCATAATTTCATGAAACACTCATTTGCATGCTGAAATTGGTAGTGACTGCCAAAATCAGGGTTCTTGGATATACAATCTTGATTTACTAAAAGTGCTGGCAGATATGTTACACCCATGTTCTGGGGATCACCTGCCTTCTTTGCAGCCTTGACCAGTATCTCCTGCTTCTCCCATCCTCTTGCCTCCTTCCTGCCTCCTTGCCTCTCCTATCTGCCCTCCCCCCTCCCTGCTGTGTCTCCTATCCTCTCCTGGTAATTGGCCCTTACCCCTGCCTGGTCCTTCTAGATAGTGGTAACAGCTAAGAGAAAAATTTTGTCATAGAAAATAGGGAATGAAATGTGTTTCAGAAAAGTCTTGGTAGCCAGACTTTAGTGTGTCAGAGCAGCATAAGCTTCTCCATGAATGGTGTGACCCTGCTTTGGGACATGCTTATAATGCTGGGATAAATTAGTGATAACAATGACTGTTGTACATTCTACAAGCATCTGTTCCATGATTTATGAAATATGTTGAAATGCATGTGTATATATACATGTGTGTGTGGCCATAAAAACAACTAACCCACTTTTTGGCAAAATGTGTTTGTGCATTGCCAGGGTATCTCCAGTCAGTGAATAATTTCTACAAGCAAGTACAAATGAAGTGCTGCCATGTCTGGTATCTTATTTTAGTGCTTGGGGGTACACAATCATAGATCAAGTGTGTTTGCCACATTTATATGGGGTTTTGAACTGAAATCCCCATATGGAAGATTATTTGGTGCTGTTTCAGCCCTGACTTCCTGAAGACCTAAACCCCTCTAGTTCTTGAGTAGCATAGACTTTCAGCAAAGTTATTGTGGTCTCCTGGCAGCATGGCAAAATTCATCTAGTGAGTTGTGCAGGAGGTAAACATAAATCAGTGATGCCAGGATTCTGGCTCTGGCAGTCACCGCACACATAATCTGTTAGCTTCTATTTGACTTTGCTCTTTGACCCAGGACCTTGACATGTAACATGCCTGGTCGATTTGCCAAGCTGAGGCGCCCACATGCTGGGTTGGCTGCTGCCCAGTTTTTTGCTGGTTGGTCTATCTTGAGCATGAGAAGGTGCAACAGGTGGTGAGCACCTAAGCTGGGGGTGCAAAGGCATGGCTCATTTTAAACATCCCTGCCACCCAAGTGGCTGAACATTGAACACTGATGGTCATATCCTATGTAGCACATATCTGTCCCTGTGTCATATGTGTCGTGCTGCCCCCCTGCCACAATTAAACCCATTGCTGCATCAAGCCCCATTTATGTTTTTTGTTGAGTGCAGGGCACATGCAGAATTTGAAAATGGGTGAACAGCTGAAAATTTGTACTGAAAGCCCATTTAAACAGGTCACTGGTGCACACAGTTTTTTGGCCTGGTGTATAACACCATTGTATTTTTTCAGTGCACTTATTTTGTTATGCTCACCTCTATATTTAAGTGCCAGCTGTTCCTCACATGCATAATGCATGTGAAAATTGCTAAGGGGGTGGAGTAAGGGGGGGGGGGGCTTGCCCCAGATGAACACTAACCTTACCTTATTTCAGGCCTCCATGATGACTGACCATTTGGCGGACCTACTGTCTGGGGCAGCACTGGACACCTCTACCACCACTCTGAGCTTTGCAAACAGGGGCCTTAAACTTGACACAGAGGAAGATGGTGAGTTTACTCCCATGTTTGGTCTTCCTAGCAGCATTATGCATGTTGTTCATCCTCAATACTGTGGTGAAGGAACACTCCTGTATGCAACAGTGTGGGCCATGCACCAGCACTGTTTATCATTATGCCTAAAGATGACAAATAGTAGAGCTCAATAATTAAAGCCCATTAATGCCTGAAAGGATGTGTTAAGTGCTGCTGGTTTGTGGTGAAGAATCTTCAATAAATCATCTTTGTGTAGATCCTGTCTGTGTGCTCTTAAAATGTCAATTCACCCAGTTTCATTTGTAAGTTCTGTTATTGTCCGTGATTAGGCCTGTGTTACCCCTGAGCTTCGTCGGCAGCCAAGGAGATCACGACGGCCATAGGCAGCCAGAAGACACTGAAGTCACTAGTCCTGGAAGGAAACACTCTGGGGATAGGTGCAGCCAAGGCCATCGGAAAGGCTCTGGAAAGCCACCCAGAGCTTCAGGAGATCCACGGAAAAGACCTCTTCACAGGCAGGCTGAAAACAGAAATTCCCCAGACCCTGGTGAGCACTCCCGAACCGTCTGCCATCCTCGATGCAGGGAGGTATAACTGTTCACTACCTTGTCAATGACCAGTCTTCAGAACGTAACGGTTGTACAGTGTGGGAACCCAGTCGAGCCCTGCGGCTGCTGCGGTCAGCTGTGGTGCGGTGTGTGTGTGCGTGCGTGCGTGCGTGCGTGTGTGTCGGTCGCTGGTCGGCCCGGCCGGAGCTGGAGCTGCGCGGTCGGTCGCGGGTCGGCCCAGCTGGAGCTGCGCGGTCGGTCGCGGGTCGGCCCGGCGGGAGCTGCGCGGTCGGTCGCGGGTCGGCCCGGCCGGAGCTGGAGCTGCGCGGTCGGTCGCGCGTCAGTCCGGCCGGAGCCGCGCGGTCGGTCGCGTGTCGGCCCGGCCGGAGCTGGAGCTGCGCGGTCGGTCGCGGGTCGGTACAGTGCTCGTGCCGGAGCTTGAGCTGCACGGTCGGTCGCGGGTCGGCCCGGCCGGAGCTGGAGCTGCGCGGTCGGTCGCGGGTCGGTCCAGTGCTCGTGCCGGAGCTGGAGCTGCGCGGTCGGTCGCGGGTCGGTCCAGTGCTCGTGCCGGAGCTGGAGCTGCGCGGTCGGTCGCGGGACGGTCCAGTGCTCGTGCCGCCTCTGTCAAGATCCATCCAGCTGGACTTCTTGTCATGATCCAGGACCGCTTCTGACGCCTCGGTCCACTCATCTCTTAAGTTTCATGGGCATGGGGCTGATCCTCTGCCACCTCGTGAAGCTTCTCATGGACTGAATTTTTGGCATCCAATTCATTGCAATATGTCATTGTTAGCCCTCATGTGACAACTGCAACGCATCTTTCACAAATTGCAAGCATGATGTGAGATAGTACGGCATAGACCGTTTGCCATAATAATCAGTTTTAATTTATAAGGTATCAAATAACTTGGCGTGAGTCCTCAACCCATACCAGTGCATTTACGTTTGTCAGTAGGCCACTGTGCCCCTTGAAAAAGCACAGTTCAGCCGATTTTGAATCCTGTCATTAAGACTGTTGAAAGTCAACGAATGCCAGTCTGCCTCCGGGCCTAGAGTTTCGTCTTTCTCCGCATCATTGGGCGTGAGAGGTCCCGACGCCAAATCACCGCAGGTGTTGAATGCACTGTTGAGACCCAACTATCATAATTTCTCAACGTGAATGAATGGGTAGTGGTGGATATTTGCACTGACTGGCATGTCTGCCATCCTCTGTGCAGCGGGCGGGCATGCGTGGGCAGCGGGCTGGTTCAGTGCCACTTGTGACGCCGCTCCTCAGACATTCGTGGGCAGCGGACCGATTCAGTGCCACTTGTGACGCCGCTCCTCAGACATTCGTGGGCAGCGGGCTGATTCAGTGCCACTTGTGACGCCGCTCCTCAGACATTCGTGGGCAGCGGACCGATTCAGTGCCACTTGTGAGGCCGCTCCTCAGACATTCGTGGGCAGCGGACCGATTCAGTGCCACTTGTGAGGCCGCTCCTCAGACATTCGTGGGCAGCGGACCGATTCAGTGCCACTTGTGACGCCGCTCCTCAGACATTCGTGGGCAGCGGGCTGATTTAGTGCCACTTGTGACGCCGCTTCTCAGACATTCGTGGGCAGCGGACCGATTCAGTGCCACTTGTGACGCCGCTCCTCAGACATTCGTGTGCAGCGGACCGATTCAGTGCCACTTGTGACGCCGCTCCTCAGACATTCGTGGGCAGCGGGCTGATTTTGGCGGGCGCTCGGCTAGCCGTGCTCGACCTGAGCGACAACGCGATCGGCCCGGTCGGCATGGACGGACTGCACGTGCTGCTGACCAGCCCCGTCTGCTACAGCCTGCAGGAACTGCTCTTCAACAACAACGGCTGGGGGCCCACCGGCGGCCAGGTGGGCGGCGGCCGCGCAGGCCCGCGCGGTTCTTCTGCCCGGTCTGTGGCTGCTGCTGTCCCCCACACCAGCTGGGCGGTGTCGCTCGCTGAAAGTCGGTGTGAGCCGAGTGCGTTGCACTTCGCCCTACGACAGGAACCTTGTATCATTACGTACGTCACTATACATTCTTATTGTGAAGCGTCACTGTCCGCTTGACATCGCCCCGGACGTGCAACTGCAAACATTTTGCCTGCAACAGCTCGGTCGTTGCGTTGGTCCGGTGCCGAGCGGCAGAGCGTGGCGCGCGGGCGTGTTGGCGGCCGTGACTGAGCCTCCCCTCGCCCTGCCGGCAGCGGCTGGCCGACTGCCTGATCGAGTGCCACGAGCGCAGCGTGCGCGACGGCGCGCCGATGCGGCTGCGCGTGTTCGTGTCGGGCCGCAGCCGGCTGGAGAACCCCGGCGCCAGCCGGCTGGCCGAGTTCTTCCGGGTGAGTGGTGCCGCGCCCGCCGCGTCCGCCGCGCCCGCCGCGTCCGTCGCGTCCGTCGCGCCCGCCGCCTCCGGCGCGACGCTGCTGACAGGTGCGCGTGCGGTGGTGGGCGCCGCGGGACGGGTGTCGGGTGGTCGGGCAGGAAGCCTAGCGCGAGAGGTGGCCTGACTGTGGGGTCGGACGGGCCGTAAGTAGCAGTCTTCTGCCGCAGAGCAGGCATGGTACGCGCCGATGCGTCTCGTAGCGCCTGAATGGGGGAAGCCCACTCGGGAGGCCCCTTGGGCGCCTCTTGGGTAATCCCTTTGGGCGCTCACGAAGCTGTCTGCTAAATAACCGTTGAGGCGTAACTTCGCTGCATCGTAGTTAAACTATCCGACGCACGGTGGACGGTGATCGGGCAGTTGGTGGTACTCCTCCACAGGGTTCGCTCCTCGCCAGCGCGGGTACCCTGCCTGCCGTGCTGGGCGTGTCAGGCTGCCCGCGCGTGGGGGTTTGCCGGCACGCGGGCTTGTGCTGGCGCTGGAGCCCGACTGTTGCTGTTGCAGCGGGTGAAGACGATGGAGAAGGTGGTGATGCCGCAGAACGGCATCTACCACCAGGGCGTGCGGGCTCTAGCGGAGGCGCTCAGCGAGAACCCGGCCCTGCAGCATCTTGATCTCGACGACAATCTGCTCACTCCCAAAGGTTAGCCAACTACGGCAACTTCTTGTCCAAATGTCAGCCAACGTCGAGACACCTTTTCGGTCCCAAAGGTCGTCCATTCTCGACGGCCTGCTCACGCGTGAAAGGCGGTGTTCTGCAGCAGCTTGCTCGGGCCCTAAGACCAGCTACCTTTGACAAACTGTTCACGACGAAGGGTTGCAAACGTGGGGTAGCCAATGACAACCATCTCACGCCCTGAGACCCGCTACTAACTACGACCACGTCCGTCCAAAAGTCAGCCAACTGCAACGCCCGAGCGCCAGCCCCCGGTGACGACCCCTTTGGGACCAAGGGTCAGCTAACTGTGCAACCTTGTGTCACCCAGATATCAACAAACCACGATGTCATTGGGGCTTTACGACGCGCTCAGCTGCTGAGGCCATATGGCGTAGCCTGCCTCTCACCCTGGCAGGAAGCTGACGCTGCCAGGGTGAGAGGCGAGGGTTCGATTTCCCCGGGCTCTCACGGCGAGAAATCGAACTCCGTACCTCTGGTTTCCCAGGCGCGCAGTGATTAACGTAGGTGCGTAACCGCAACATTTTCGGCACCCGGCGCGCAGGCTCAAACCTGTTGATTTCATTTGTTTCACTCGTCGATTCTGGAAAAGAATGAACGTTCTCAGGCAGACATTGGATGGCCTGGTGTGTGTTTTTAACTCATTTCGACTAACTCCATTAAGCACAAAAGAGATCCCGTACTTCTTTTCGGGAAGGGGCCCCTTGAGTAGAACACTACGAGGCACATTATTATTCCCAGTCCAGCGCTGAAGGGTCATCTGCTCCACTGCGGTGTGACCCCCGGCCGTCATTCTGGTGACACGGGGCGGGGCCCCTGGCCGATCCAGAGGCACTTAGAGGGATACATCACGTCACGTTGGTCCGCTCCCTGACGCGGGAGGGTTACAAACTGCACAGTTGACCCCGGATCGACGCCGAAACCCTCATTGACGCAGCAACATCCTTTATCGTGGTGAAATGATTGGTTCATAGAGCTGACGGTTCGTTGTTGTTGATCTCTGGCTGAAATAGGAACAGTCTGTTCCAGCGGTCCCCATCGGTGCAAGAGGTCCTCTGACATTCGAGATCACGGCCCGACAGGCTGGGGTCCTTAAGATGACCTGCAGCCAGTACTTCGGACACTTATGCACTCCAACCGAGCCTTTGTTCGTCCGAGCTTTTGTTCCGGTGGGCCGCCCGGGCCCCGCGTCGGGCCTCATGGAACGCTTCCCTTGGTTGGCTTGGGGCCCTTGCGGGCACAGGACACTCTCTTAGGCGCTGTAGGCCCCTGACAGATACAGGGGCCCTAGCCAGTGTAAATCACTGGCACCGGCTTCATAGCTGAAAGTGGACCCTCCGGCCCGTACCGACACGGAGCAGACTGTGCGATAATGGTTGTGCCTGACTGACATATAGGCCCATATGGACTCAGGGTGGTTCCCGATCGGCGCAAAGGGCCCCCTGACTGCCATTTGAGGGCCCGTCCTCGCAGGCGGGGGCCCCTGAATAAGACTCCAACCAGCCCTTCGTGCTCTTAGACCCTCCAACCGGGCGCTCGATTATCGGACCCGATGGACCCTCTCGGCTCTTCGGGCCTCTTCGAACACTGCCCCTGGTCGACTTGGCCTCCCTGCCATCACAGGGCCCCCGTAAGGCGCTGTCGAGCGCTGACAGACGCTGTGGCCCCGATCAGTGTGGATCGCTCGTTTTGGTTTTGTTTCTGCCTGGGAAATGGGCCCCCCAGGCCCACACCGCCACGGAGCCGACTATGTGTTACCGGTGGTGTCTGACCAGCATAAAGGCCCTTATCGACTCAGGGGCCCTTGACCAGCACGCAGGGCCCTCTGCGTGGCATTGGGGTGCCCGGCTCTGCGGGCCGGAGCCCCTGAATGCGACCTCTGGTCGGTCTTTCGGGCCCCTAATGGTAGGGTCCGAGGGGCCCAGAGGGCCCATCGTATTCTAGGAGGCACGTTCTGCAGTACTGGGCAAGTTATGACACTATCACAACGCACAAATTTCACTTAGGATTGTCTGTTGGCGTACGAAGATCAGTCAACAAGTTTCTTGCTCCCGAGGGATTCTTGCCGTTGGGGGCTTCAATGACGCTGTGATCGAAGACGGCCTTGGTGCATGCTCATTGACAAATCGGAATATTTACCATATACGAGAACCAGTGCAATGGATTAAGTCCGTTTTTCTGCTGATGGAAACAAAATGTTCTCCATGAGGCCTAAAATCGTACCACACGTTTGTCGTACTTGTAAGGTGTAAATAACTCCTGAAGTTGACTGGCCCTTAAAGCCCAACGACTATTGCTACGGAGTGGCACTGCGACGCCAGTGGATAACTCCCATGTAATGGTGTTGGGATGGCCCGTGCGACGGTGCCTTCTGTGGTATTCCGAGTGTCGTGACGCAGCGTCGGCCGTCTGCCTGGAGCCAGTTGCGTGAGTGTGGAGCCAGTTCCAACATGTACTGGCGGCAGGGGCCCGCGCGCTGGCCGCGTACCTGCCGCTGATGAGCGAGCTGCGCGTGCTCAACCTCAACGACTGTCCTGCTGAAGTCGGCCGGAGCGCGGGCGCTGGCGGACGCGCTGCGGGGCAACAACCCCAAGCTGACGGTGAGGCGGCGGCCTCGGCTGGCGGCGCCGGAGCGGGGCCGCGGCGGCACCGGGTGTGGCCGCGCGGGCTGGGCGAGAGGAGGGGGTGGTGCGGAGAGGGGAGAAATGGGTGGAGTTAGTGCAGGCACGGGGGAAAGAAGCAGAATAAGTGGGAGTTCGAGGGAAATGAAGCAGTGAAGAGGGTCGACGTGATGCTGTTCGTTGACGCAAGCGCATAGGTCGGCCGTGTTGTTTCTACGCTCGGTTAGCCTTGCCTCTCGTCTCGACAAGGTGGAAACGCTGGCCAATCGGGTGCCGTCTCCCGTGTTCATAGACGATGGCTACATAGATGGCTAAGAGTTCGCCGTGCTCAACCAGGTGTTATAGCCATTTAACCCACAAATATGATGCCAGTGTGGAGACTGGCGTGGAGAGGTGGAGACTCAGTCATCGTCCACTGCACCGTTTCGTCCATCCCCTCACGCGGTCCACGGGGCCGCCAGTCCACGCCACCCCACCCGCGCCCGTCGCCTCACACACAGCGCCCATCCGTCCCGGCAGGAGCTGCACATGGCCTTCAACGAGGTGGCGACGCCGGCGGCGCTGTCCGTGGTGGAGGCGCTCGCCGACCACGGCCAGCTGGAGCTGCTCCAGCTCGACGGCAACCACCTGGGCGAGCGGGGCATCACGGCCGTGCGCCAGGCAGCCGCCGACCGCGGCCTGGCCGACAGCCTGGCCGGCTTCAGGTGGGCGGCGTCGGCGCCGACGGGGGCACGGCTGGGTGGGTGGGGGAGTCAGCCCGCGGGCAGGCTTGAATGCGGGTGGGCCTGAAGCTTGCCCGTTTGTGTTCGTGATGCTGCTTTCCTCTAGAAGCGTAGCCCTTAATATGCAGGCTAGTACTTTGATATCTTGTTCGAATTGATCTTAAAGACCGGCTAGTGTCCAATTAGCTTGACTCCCACTATTGATTTGAGCTAACGTACCGCGACTTCTCGACTTCGTCAGGCCACTATCGTCACAAGGTGATGTCATTTTTTAAAGCCGCGATAAGGAAGAACTAGGCGGATCAGGCCGGGATTTTAATTTAATATTTGCTTCCCTGCTTCACTTAAGCAGCGCAAACATACCCTTATTCACAAGGCCCGACTTTGCTGAGATATTGTCATTAAAACATATGTTATCTCGATAATCCCGCTTTTCGAGGCATGATTGTCTGCGTCGAAGTTCTCATGCGGGGATCCGTGTGTCGCAACCCAGCCCAGTTGTGTTCTGGCACGGCTGCAAGTCATCTACACTCGCCGACGATCAAACATGCACTCAGGTCCAGTGAGTCGCCAGAGAATTCCCAACGCGGCGTCGCCTCTCGTTTCAGTGAGGACGAAAGCGAACCGGACTCGGATGAGAAGGACGACGAAGACGAGGAGGACGAGGAGGGGGAGGAGGAGGAGGATGAGGAGGAACATAGCGATGGCGAGCACGTGTCGCCTCTGAAGCGGCCCGACCCGGCTCCGGCCAAGGTCTGTATCGGCTGCAGCGTGGTAGCGCAGCTATGCTTTGGCACACGGGTGCCTTCGCGTCTGCTGCGTGCGGACAGCCGGACACTTGAGAGTAGATTCACTGTGTGCGTGTGTTCGCATTGTGTGCGTGTTCGTGTGAGGTTCTCGTTTAAGCGCCTCATCTGACTTAAATCAGGCTCTTATCGCTGTATCTGGTTTTTAAGCACACATTGGTATTGGCGCTGGAACAGATGGATAATTCGACACATGCACAAGATTTGCTTGCTATTCATTGCTATGCGTGTTTTCCTTCCGACCCCTGCGCTGTTAACCAGTCGCTTTCTTTTTTGTGCTTGTGTGCGGAGTGGGTGGTCACGAACATGGTTAGTATTTAAATGCTTGACATGTAAGCCCATCGCGGTCGACCCGGCGAAAAAATCACGGTGTCAGTATGATCTAGGGGTATGTCAACGCCACTACCAGGGAGCGCGCAGTCTTATAAAAGTATCCACGCGCAGTGTCATGCATGATGCCGTAGCACTGCTCGTGGCTCCGTCAGCCAGAAGGGGTCGGCCGTGGGGTCACAGCTGCGAGTGCCGCTCCGTGCTGGCCGCCGGTCTGCCGTGAAGGAGAGCTGAGCGCCCTCCATCGGAGTGCTGGTAGCCAATTGACCGTTCTCCATTGGGCCGCTGGGATCTGGCCGACCGGCGGCCGCTGGAGCCAGCACCTCGCTGTAAAGACGGATGAACTAATGAGAACTTGGGACCCTCGCCGCGAAATAGGATTAAGAGCCCACCCTCATCCCCCAGCCCCAAGGCTTTCACGGGATTTTTTCCGGACGAACCTAAGGACGGTGGTGTAAATTTTGGATAGCAGAGTTAACATCAGTTTTATCCGTATCAAAATCGTAAGGTAACCTTGACGTCTCATGATCTATGATCAAAACTGTTGTTTGTCTGAGACCGATTTATTTGTTTTTATATCACTCGGAAGTGCATGATTGGCACTATGGCTGCTCTTGCAATGCCCGGATATCCAAGGTCAAAGTATGACCTTTGTGACCAGATTCGATCGTTTAAAAGAAACGTTCCACGTTTGGAGATATTGGAGCGAGCGTTGGATAGGATGAATAAGCTTACTTATAACTATTAGTATACTTTTAAGTGGAAAAGGCGGCTCTAGACAGCACATTTTCCCTGCTAAGTAAATATCCTCCTCAACACGTCATTGTTAAATTACGTCATCATACCTTGTGCAATATTGATTGACGGCCGTTATGCCTGGAAATCGCGCTCACGACCGCCAGATATAAACGACTTGACAATTATATTTTGATTGGTCCTGATCGCCACATGGCCAATGGAATGGCAGGATTCGAATGGCATTATGGTGTCATGGTTGTATGGGTGATCTTGACATAGTCTCCCCGAAAAAGTCTGTATATCTTCGCTGGTGTGTAGCTCAGAAACTTGAAGACTTCAGGGCTCAAGAAGGGCAGGGCCGTGAACTGCATCAGTGATCTTCAAGGTGGCTTTTCAGATCAAAACCCCATAAAAATGTGGAACACTCCCTTTAAAGGTCATTTAGACCCTTTGAGGGTCATGTCACGTAAATCTTAACGGCACGTATCTTACAGCTTGAAAAGGCATGGCTGACGCTACTTCCGCGTCGACGTGGCTTGTTTGATTCTTGATTCAGCTGGATGGCCGAATGCCACAGCGGCCTTCATTACTTTGACAAGACATTATATCGCAGGTTACATGTGTTGGTAGCCACTGGTGCCCATCGGAAAGCAGCTTTCCAAAAGCTGGTGATCGCCGTTTTTCGCACTGTTGTAGCATGCTTAAATCATGCTTAAATCTTGAGGTAACACGAGGGGTTTATAAAGTTACAACTGAACCACTCTGACCTGATCTTACCTGCCAAACTCTCGTTCGCCAATGTTCAGTGCTAGTTAAATGATAGTGTGGCGGGGGCTTTTCAACTTCGTTTTGCCGCGCCTCCAGTATGGTTAGTTTTAGAGATCTCGAAGGGCCCTGAGCCCCCTTCCACGTACTGCAAAGGTGAAAAACTCACACAGGGTGAGGTTAAACCAATTTTTGAGCTTGCTTTAGGTATGTAACACGTTTTCAGTTGCATGGCATGTGGCTCACATGCCATGCAACTGCCATCACATGCCATGTAAACATGGCAAATGGCTCTCCAAACTAGAGAGCACGCGCCAAGTTTTCCCCCAGTTTGAAGGCCGTTGCACCCAGCCTTCCAGTGGCATGCGGTTTGCCCACTCGTGCTCGGCTGAGCGGTCACCACTGGACACAGGCGGCACGGCCTGAGCGTCTCCCGCTGGAGCGTGCTGACCGTGGCCCGTGTCCCCAGTGCACCGTCGCCGAGTTCCTGCGCCAGCCGACGGCGGCGCGCCTGCTGGCTCTGGGCGGCGATCGGCGAGCGCAGCTGGTTCGCGAGGCGAACGGGACGGAGGTGAGCACGCCCGGACCGGCGGAGGCGGGCCCTCGGCGCCGCTGGACGCGCTAAGCTCCCACGCCCGTCCCGCGCCGTCTGGCAGGTGGTCGCACAGCTCCCCGACCCAGGCCTGTGGTTTGTGTTCATCGCAATGTATTGGTCCTGCGTGGGGCTTGTGCATTGGATGCAGTACGTGCCATGGCTGTCCGTAACGTGTTGCTCTTTTATGCAATGATTCCTCAATGTCACCCTTAAGACAAGATCAAGCTACCCAACACCGAAAGGTCCGCACGGGAGCGGTAGGCTCTTTCCGTTGTGTACAATCAGATCCCTTGCTTCGCTGCGCACAAGTACCGAGGCCGTACAGCCCCCGTCAACAGAAACCCACGTTTTCGTGTTGACCTGTCTGCCCTCGTCTCGTCGGTCGTTCGGCAGACGGCGGTCTCTGATCCGTTCTGTTTCCGCGCACGGCAGCGTGCGCAGCCCCAGGCGCGCTGATGCCGGCTCGTCCCCTCACGCCGGCGTGTCGCGCGGCAGCCCCCCCCCCCCCTCCGGGAAGCGTGCTGGTACGGTCGCCACCCGCCGCGCCGCAGGTGCCGGCGGACGCGGCGGCGACCGTGCGCCGCCACCTGGAGGTGCTGTCGGCCGTTTGTCGCGTGGACGCGGCGGCCGGCCCGGCGGCGGACGTGCTGCCTGGCCTGGTGGACGGCCTGTTGGAGTCGGCGCTGCGGGCCGCCGGCGGCAACCTGGGACTGTTCGCCAACACGCTGCTCGTCTACCTGGGTCTCATCAAGGCACGTGGGGCTAGGGTTTCGCGCCGTTGCGTCGCTGGGACGGTCGAGATGCAGAGTGGCAGGGTGGGACGCCACGGTCCGGGCTTGACAAGTTGCTACTGTACCTTCCAGTCGTGACACGAGGATGGGCACCCATCAGTTTGGCGTGGACAGCAGCGTTGCCTCGACTTGCAGGAGTTCAGCTTTGAACGCGCCTTGTTGCCTAAAGTTAGGGAAAGAACTGTCACCTAGTGTTCGGTGCCCCGGCTGAGACCGCGGTGTGAGCGGCGCAGCTCGTGTCGGCCGTTCTCCAACCCCGGTGACCGCGTGCGGGCTCGGCTTCATTTGTGACGTTGCGAGGCTCAGAATGCGTCAGAGAGACGTGCAGGACGTGCACGTATATCGATGTGCAGTTGTAACTAGAAGCATTGATGTCGTTAACTCGTACGTTTGCACACGCGCTTGCCTTACGCGTGCGTCTGTGACGTCATTATGCGTGTGTGTCGCTGACATCACCATGCGTCGATGACGCCACTGTCTCTGTGACACTTGCGTGACGTGACTGGGTCTGCCACAGTGCGAGGACAAGAAGTTCTCGGTCAGCTGGGACGTCAAGGGCATGATCGTAGCCCTGACCCGGGCTGTGCAGCAGGCCTACTTCCCGGCCTCTGTGCGGAATACGCTGCAGACTTTCCTCAGCAGGTGTGGACTCCGCACGCGCGTCCTCGCGGACGCGTATTTACCGGCTAGTGTGCGATTCATCGCCCGGCGGGATTTTGCGCCGTGGCGGACAGATCCTATTGACCCGAGGCGGCGGGTCCGAGGCGCAGTGCCGGCTGTTTTGGTCGTACCCGCCACCGCCCGGGCGACAGAAAACCGCACCAGGGGCCATTGTTCGTCGAAACGTAGCCGCAGGATTGGCATTGCCTCGCTGTATACTCTCCGGCACGCACGCCTCGTGGTGCGGAGCTGTCCTCAGTTGTGGGGTGGTCTGGGCGGGGTTGGTGCGCTGTTTGGCTCTCGGCTGCTCTCCCACGCTTCCGTCACTTCTGGTGACCCCATGCAGGGCAGACGTTCCGAGCTCGTCAATGCAGCTTAGCTCCCGTGGCGTCTGCTGCTGTCTGCAGCAGTTATTCCTAGGTCCGTTGAAGCACTTAAGATTTCAGTTTAACTTTTCTTAAACTGAAAGTGCTTTTGTTTTCGTTGCAGGCCCAACAAGACCATCGACGTACACCCGAAGCAGAAGCACCTGCTAATGCAGGCGCTGTACCAGTAGCGCGCGTTTAGACATTGGCATCTATGTTCGATTCCTCATCGTGTACACTCCAGTCATGAATAAATTCGCACACAAACGAATCAGCCTTCAGCCAGCGCGCCGGACCGCAGACGACACCGCGCCGGGGGAAGGTGCCTTCCCTCGCGCGCACCGCCTCCGCTCCACAACGCCGCCCGAAACAGTCGCCTCAGGACGCGGCGACGGCGGCGGAGACCGTCGCGCCGTGCTGCCGGTGGAACTCTTGCAGTGTGGTGCGCTCCAGCGGCACGGCGTGTAGCACCTCGGAGCTGCAGTCGACCACCTCGACGGCCGCGTACTGGCCGGCGGCCAGCGCCAGCGTGCCGTGCTCCCGCGGCACGATCACCTTGACGTTGGCGTCGTTGCGGCCGATGAGGAAGCGTGGCGAGCGGCGGCTGGCCCGCTCCAGCAGCACCAGCTGCCTCTGGCCCAGCTGGGCGCGGTTGACGTCGAGCACGAGCTCGCGGTAGAGGCGCGTCAGCCGCGCCACGCGCCGCTGCTTCTCGTCGGCCGGCACGTCGTCGGTGAGCCGGTGATGCGCGCGCGTCTTTTCTCGTCGGCTGTACGCGAACAGGTAGCAGTAGTGGTAGCGCACCTCTCGCAGCAGCGACAGCGTGTCCTCGAAGTCCGCCTCGCTTTCGCCGCAGAAGCCGGCGATGAAGTCTGACGTGAAGGCGACGCCGGGCACGGCGCGGCGCGCGTGCCGCACCAGCGCCAGGTACGCCTCGCGCGTGTAGCCGCGCCGCATGGCGGCCAGCACGCGCGAGCTGCCTGACTGCGCCGGCAGGTGGAGGCAGCTGCAGACGTTGGGACGCTCGGCCACCACGCGCAGCACCTCGTCCGGGAAGTCCTTGGGGTGCGGCGAGGTGAAACGCACGCGCACCTCCGGGTCCACGTCCGCCACGGCCGACAGCAGCTCGGCGAAGCGGGTGCCGCCGGCGCGCGGCCGGTACACGGTGGAGAAGCCGCTCGCCAGCCGGGTCTCCTCGCTGCAGCCGCCGCCGCCGCTGAGGTCGCGGTAGCTGTTGACGTTCTGGCCGAGCAGTGTGACCTCACGCACGCCTTGCGCCGCCAGCCGCCGCACCTCGGCCACGACCGAGGTCAGCGGACGCGAGCGCTCGCGGCCGCGCGTGAACGGCACGATGCAGTACGTGCACATGTTGTCGCAGCCTCGCATCACCGTCACGAAGGCGGTCGGCGCGTGCGGGTCGAGCCGCACCGGCCGCACGTCGGCGTACGTCTCGTCCAGCGAGAGCAGCACGTGCACGGCGGCGCCGTGCTCGGTCGGCTGCGCCAGCAGGCGCGGCAGGTGGCGGTAGCTGTCCGGCCCGGCCACCAAGTCCACGCCCGCCTCCGCCTCCAGCAGCCGGTGCTTGAGACGCTCGGCCATGCAGCCGAGCACGCCCACCTGCCGGCCGGCGCGTGCGGTCAGCGCGGGGGAACGCGGACGGGCTCGGCGCCGAGGCGGCCGCGTGGGGGCGCGGCGCGCCGTCGGGTTCGCGGCGGTGCCCCCAGACGAGCTGGAGCGTGTGTAGAGGAAGCGTGAGGGGAGCGGCACAAAGTGGGGCAAGGGACTTCGATCACAGGCAATATGACAGGTAAGCCAATCACGATGGAATCACAAATTAGCTGTGACAAGGAGGCAGGACGAGAACGGGCTCTTTGTGCGAAACCTAGCATTTCCAACGTCGTTAAGGTTCCAGGCGGGTACAGTGTTATCCGGGCAAATCGTCATTTGAGGGTATGAAGAAGTCGGCCGAGAGAGAAAGCGAACCGATCCTACAAGAGCACGCGTAAACCCCTGCACGAAATGGCAGGGGCCGCTGCAGCCACAGCACTGGCCGTGCCCATTACTCGGCGAGTTTCACATCAGGGCCGTGGGCGGGGTGGTCGCTCGGGAGGTGGCGACCTGAGCAGCCAGCACGTCCACCAGAGCACCGCTCCGCCCTGTCTGCTGAGGTCGCATCAGCAGCCTGCGATCGAGCCCACCTTGAACTGCGCGCCGGCGTAGTTCCGACTGGCCTTCAGACGACGGAAGTTGTCCAGCTTGTTCCAGATCTTCTGCTCGGCGCCCTCGCGGATCGAGCACGTAACGAGCAGCACGACGTCGGCGTCGTGCAGGCCGCCGGCACGCGCGTAGCCGGCCTCCTGCAGCACGGCCCAGGCCACCTCCGTGTCGTTGACGTTCATTTGGCAGCCGTGGACCTCGAAGTGGACGCGGCGGCCGGCGCCGTGCTCGAGCGCTGGGCTCAGGTACGGCTGGTCGGGCTCGGCCGGCGTGGCGGCGGCGGCCGGCGCGCTGGGCAGGAAGTGCGCCAGTCCAGGGCCCGGCGCCAGGCGGCGGCCCGGCCGGCTGCCATCGGCGCCGCCCCCCGCGGAAGACGCGGACGGCCGGGACGGCGGCGCCAGCCTCAGACGGACTCTCTGCAGCAGGAGATGCCGCAGCTCGGCGGCCACGCGCATGATGTTGCTGGGTTTGAAATACTGCTCAGATGCGTGCACTGCTGGGCCAACCTGAAATTGTTTTTGAGTGTTAAAGAAGATTGTGGATGTATACTGAGAGCTGTATTGGAAATTTAGAGCTACAGTGAAGGTGCACTTCAGGAAAAATGGAGGTTTTGTTTTATTTGAATGGCTGCCAAGTGAACTGTGCTCCCATCATGACCATGATTGTCATAATGATACACATCCCCAGCAGCATAGTATGCTTGGTACATGATATGGCACAGAATGTTACAAATAACCTCAATTGGTGCATGTCTAAACCCTACATATCCATTGCAGGACTTAGGGTAATTTGCCATATACACCATATACATATACAATACAAATGTAGTGCAACTTGTCCCACAGAAAGGTGTAGTTTTATATGTACTGTGCATCATGATACAGGAGGACCACATGCATACATCTATCTTTTCAACAGACTAATGCTTATCATGAGCAAAATGTAGCAAAACTTTGCTTATCATGGAATGTTAATCACCCTCACCATGGCTGAGGCATAAGGGCTGCCAGTCATCAAGTTCATTTTGCACCCAAACCTACTCTGGTCAAGGAATGACATGCTTTGTCACTTGCATATATTACAACCATCAAGACCTGAGAGCCCATTTTGGGCCCCTTTCAACCACAGTGAGCTACCCCATCCCACACACTCATTTGTTTCCCCATAAGCTTCCCTCGTGCTTCAGAAACCAATGTTATTGAGGCATCTTGATGCACCCTGGGATTTTTGGTTCATGTTACGTATGTAACATTCTCTTACTCATGACGTAACCAATTAATGATCATCTTTAGACAGCTGGCATTGTGACAGTGGGAAAAGGGGCCAGCTTGTCTTGCATGAAATGCTTCAACCTCAAAACTGGTGCTGCACACAAGTGGCAATGTTGAGAACTAATGTGGCTGCAGAAGTTTGAAAGTTTTGCACTGATCATAGAATGATGAATCAATATTTTCCATTTCCAAAGTGGAAAATTTGGTGAATGGACTAGCTCATAATATTACATCATTCAACATAATGACCTCCTTTTTCTTCCTCTTTTATACAAATTTTCCACAACTTTGTCAGCTCAGTTAGATGAAAATGCTAGTGAAAAAGCATCCAGCAAGTCCAAAGAAGGAAGAGAAGTGGCATGCTGCACATTGAAGCAAACTTGTGATAAACAATGTGATGATTTTCATAATACAGCATAAAGTAATTGACGCTGATGTCCATTTAAATAACAATGCAACCCATTCTGAAGTTGGTTTGAGGCATGAATAAAGTTGTATTAGCATGAAAAGTTGGTGCCTGTCTTGGCTCATAGTCTAGTATGTGTGTAGTTAGTAATGGGCATAAAATACCAAATGCATAATGCCAATGGGTGGCTACATGCATAAAATAATAACAGAAATGAAACATGATATAATGAGAATACGGTGTTTCTCGTCTTCAACAGGCCGTTCGATTAGCGCATCGCCTGCAGGAATGCTTTCAACTGACGTTGTGTCGAACACACATTTGATGGTACAACGTTTTCGGCTGCACAGCCTTCGAACTATTGTCAAAAAACAATACGAGATTAACATGAAACGGTAAATGCCTGACTCATACAATGCGTTCTCGCCACAGTTTATGCTGCATGCTCGTTTTTTTACGATCCGGGGCTTTTGACACTTTCACGCCACAATCGTCGCAGATCAAACAAGCCACTTTACGTCTTGTACGCAGACTGGAGCGTGGGTTTAGCTGGTTTAAGGATTAAGCCAAGCTCGCGGAATGCCGGCTGAAGCGTGGTTGGTTATGTTACACTGCTGAAGGTGAGGTGGGAAAGGGATATGTACTACATTAAGTCATTAGATATTTCTGATTTTGGGGGCTTAAAGTGCTTGCGCTCAACGTAATTTCGACCCTTGACGAAGCACCAAGGAGCATGTTAGGCATCATTAGGTGCAAAAACTGTCCCGCCCGTAATGCTGATATGCCTGTTCGTATGATTATGTGTTGCCTGAATGCTTCCTGTGAGTGGCTTTCTAGCATCCACAAACTGTGGTGCTGTAATGGTATGCTAGCTGGCAGAGGCACCGAGTGATATGTGAACCATTTTACCATGTCAGGTGAGCCCACAGTTGTGGTTTGTGAGCCCATTGATATGTGTTCTCTTTTTCTTTATTTTCCTCTTGATAGCTACTTTCTTAATAGACTTCCATGACCTCAAACATAGATACATTCCAAGTACAGGGCAAGTGCTGATGCTTTCATCCTGTACTCATCAGAACATGGTCTTGCTTGCTAGGGTAATAGTCAGGCCTGAAATGCCAGCATTTGGGTAATATTTGACATATACCAACACACACTGACTTATACCTGTGCACTGATGTCCTTTGGTTTAACCTTGGTCACAGGTCCACTGCCTGTGGTTGTTGGAGTTATTTAAGGTGAAGAATTCCAAATAGCTTAAGTTCATTTATCATGCCTGCATCTGGTATTCATGGTATTGTGCTATGAATACAGATGATAAAAATGTGTACCATGTGTTCTGTGCACACTTTATCAATGGGAAATTGCTGTTGAATTGGAGTAAACATGTGTTGCTTATTTGTATATAATATTGTCACTTCTGGTGTTTGACTTTTATTGACATGCTTACCCCACAAGCTAGAAAAACATTAAAGAGAAGGCTGTTAAAGATGATATACCTCATTATGGTATGCCTACTAGCATTAAATGTCACTTAGAGAGCATTTTTTGCAATTTAGGGGATCAAAAACAAACAGGACAATTGTTCTGCCAATAATTGGTCCAAATGGGTAATTAGCCTTACAATATGTAGGTAATGCATTTGTCAGCACACAGTGCTCATGCATTTTTGGTTGAATATGTGTTTATGGTGAGAAATGACTGGCTTTGCTAAATTGTTCAGAATGTCTGTTTTGTATGTAATGATACCAGGCAGGTCCACACAAGCTTCTTAGGTATGTTTCTTGGGTATGAGTGTCATCATTAATGTGTTGTTTCTTTTGTCTGTGACTCAGCACTCAGAATAGCCTTGGCAGGGTCTTGGCAAGATGGAAGGTTGCTACCTGTACTCTTCCTTTGCTCAAAATTTACCTTGACATAGGACAGGCAGGTCAGATGTCTAGGTTTAGGGTCAACAGGTCAACAAGGGGTTAGTGCTGATGAATTGTGTGCAGAGGCTGTCCAAGATGTGCTGCCCGTCATCTGTATCTGTATGAATACAAAGTATGAACACCATGTTTCAGCCAGTGGGCTGTCCTTCCCTCCTAGTAGGCTCAGTTAGTAGAAGTCTGGGCTCACAATTAAAAGACATTGGTTGGAATCCTAGCAATTGCAAGGAGTGAATGTAGGCTCCTGATGATCTATAATGCCTGATGATGGTCATGAGTTAACTAGCCAAAACATATGCATGCCAACACACTGAAGAGGACAATAATCTGAGGAAGCATTCCAACCTTGAAGGAAATTTCAAGGCTGAGAACTTTGTAAAAGATGTTTGCTTTGCACTGGTTTGCCAGAATTGATTTCATAATGCATACCCCAGCTCAATTTTTGGATGTTTTTGCGGGAACCATATGCCATATTTGTTTAGCTGTTTGCATATTGTTGCTTGGCTGATAGCAGCAGATGCTCACACCCTTCAGACAACTAGCCAGTGGCTAATACTTCCTTGTTATTCCCAGGCACAGGCTGCAGCTGTCCAGACCAGCCTGCCAAGCAGAGCAGAAGTCCGGCCAGTAAGGGGCGCTGAGTCGGCTGCTGCACCCCTGCCCGGGCGGGCGCGTGGCGCCGCGACTGCCGCACCTCCTCCCCAGTCGGCGCCATGTCGGACGGCAGTGAGGACGGCGAGATCTCAGAGCCGCGCGAGTTCCTGGTCGACGACGACTCGCTCGAAATCAAGCCGCCGCAAAACCAGGCCGGCAGCAAGCACAAGGCGCGCTCCAAACACTCGGAGCACAAGCGGCGTGACAAGCACAAGCACCGGCGCCACGAGAGCCGCCGGCAGCGGCGCGAGCACCGCGAGCGCCGCGACGCCCACCGCCAGCCGCCGGACGCCCACCGGCCTCCAGTAGACGCGCACCGTCCTCCAGTGGACGCGCACCGGCCGCCGTCGGACGCGTACGAGCCGCACGAGCAGGCGCGGCCGTCGCGGTCGCGCGAACGCCGAGATCGGGACGGCCGGCGCGAGCGGCGACCCGAGCGCGAGCCGTTGCCGGTCGACTCGCGCGACGGCCGCGCCGCCTACCGCGAGCCGGCCGACGATCTGCCGCCGCGTGAGCGCGAGCGTGACTCGCGCCACCGCCAGGAGCGACGCGATCCACCCACCGAGGTGGACCTGCGCCGCGAGCGATTCCTGCAGGCGGTGCGCGTGTCCGAGCACCAGAAGGAGATGTCGCGGCGCGAGCTGGAGGCGCGCCGCCAGCGCCGCGAGGTGGAGAAACTGCGCCAGCGCGAGCTGCGTGAGATCGAGCTGAAGCGCGAGCGCGAGTACAGCGACGACCGTGAGGGCGGCGACGGCCGGCGCAAGAAGTCGCGCCGCGTGGTGGAGTTGCTTTCCGAGTCGCCCGAGCGCGCGCCGGAGCGTGAGCGGGAGCGGGAGAGGGAGTCAGCACGGCCGCCGCGCGAGGACCGCGATGTGCGAGAAGAGCGGGATCCGCGGGAGGAGCGTGAGCCACGAGAAGCGCGCGAGGGGCGGGAGGGGCGCGAAGCTCGTGAGGGTCGTGAGGGTCGTGAGGGACGTGAGGGAAGGGAGGGCCGAGAAGGTCGCGACGGACGGGAGGGTCGCGACGTTCGGGAGACGCGGGAAGAGCGTGACCGTGAGCGCGTCAAGAAGGCCGAGTCGGAGCGTTCCTCGGGCGAGGAGGAAGAAGAGGAAGAGGACGACGACGACGACGACGAGGAGGAGGAAGAGGGCGAGGAGAGCGAGGAGTCGTCCTCTTCCGAATCGGCTGGCGACGAGGAGCAGGACGGCGAAGAGGAGGAGGAGGACGAGGAGGCGGACGTGGCAGAGGCGGCGCCGTCTCGCTCGCCCACGCCACCTGTGACGGGCCGTCGGTGGCGCCAGACTAGCCGCTCGTCCCCGGAGGCGACGTCGCCGCTGCGGGCCGGCTCGCCCGCCCGCAGCACACCGCCGCCGTCGCCGCCGGCGCTGATGGCGGCCGACTCGCCGCCGCCGTCGCCGGTCGAGATGAAAGAGGTGCTACCGCCGTACCTGCCGGCCGTGCAGGGCTGCCGCAACGTTGAGGAGTTCAACTGCCTGAATCGCATTGAGGAGGGCACGTATGGTGTGGTGTATCGCGCCGTCGACAAGCGCACAAAGGAGATCGTGGCGCTGAAGCGGCTCAAGATGGAGAACGAGAAGGAGGGCTTTCCAATCACTTCGCTGCGGGAGATCAACACGCTGCTGAAGGCGCAGCACGAGAACATCGTGACCGTGCGCGAGATCGTGGTCGGCAGCAACATGGACAAGATTTACATTGTCATGGACTACGTGGAGCACGACCTCAAGAGCCTGATGCAGACGATGAAGCTGAAGAAGCAGTCGTTTACGACGGGCGAGGTCAAGTGCCTGCTGATCCAAATGCTGCGCGCCGTGCGGCACCTGCACGACAACTGGATACTGCACCGCGACCTCAAGACGTCCAACCTGCTGCTCTCGCACAAGGGCATCCTGAAGGTGGGCGACTTCGGCTTGGCGCGCGAGTACGGCTCGCCGCTGAAGCAGTACACGCCGATTGTGGTGACGCTGTGGTACCGGGCGCCGGAGCTGTTGCTGGGCGTCAAGGAGTACTCCTGCCCCATCGACATGTGGTCGGTTGGCTGCATCTTCGGCGAGCTCGTGCGCATGGAGCCCATGTTCCCCGGAAAATCTGAGGCCGACCAGATCAACCGCATCTTCAAGGAGCTGGGCACGCCCAACGAGAAGATCTGGCCGGGCTACAGTGAGCTGCCGGCCATCAAAAAGATGACCTTCACCGAGTACCCGTACAACCAGCTGGCCAACAAGCTGGCCGGCGCCGTCACGGAGAAGGGCGTGGCGCTGATGAACAAGCTGCTCACGTACGACCCCAAGCGCCGTCTGGCGGCTGACGAGGCGCTGGCGCACAGCTACTTCGACGAGCAGCCTCGCCCCATCGACCCGGGCATGTTCCCCACCTGGCCGGCCAAGTCCGAGCTAGGCCACAGGAAGACCGGCCACAGCCCGAAGCCGCCGTCCGGCCGCAAGAACCTGGGCGATGAAGACGTCGGCTTTCAGCTGGGCGCGGCCGCCGGCGCCGGCGGCTTCAGCCTTAAGTTCTGAGGCGGCCGGCGGCTTCAGCCTTAAGTTCTGAGACGGCCGGCGGCTTCAGCCTTAAGTTCTGAGACGGCCGGCAGCGTCAGAGGCGGCTGTGGGGCCGGGCGCGCGTGATGCGGTGCGGGTGTTCGGACTTGTGACGCGAGTGGTGAGAGACTCGAGTGCTGCGGAATGGAGAGAGGCATGGCATGTGTCGGCGTATGGCGTGAGTGGTGAGACTGAGCGCTGTGCCGTGTGGAACGGGGCGAGTGTTCCGGCCTCCGATTCGTGGCGAGAGTGATAGGCTCGGATGTCGCCATGCGTGAGGTTCAGTTGGCTGTCCGTCTTGTGGCCTGGGTGTGGCGTACCTCCGAGTGTTAAGTGTAGCCGTCACGTCAACCGGGAGCGCTCTAGTGTGTTTGTACAACGGGAGGAAGCTCTATGAGTGCAAATCATCCATCGTTGCGCATTGTTGCCGTGCTGTCGGCAGTGTCACATGTGGGAGTCTTCATCCGTCGGAAATGTTAACACAGACTTCCGTGAACCAATGGGATTTGGCGTCGAAAGTCGTGGGTTAAGTGTCACGGGTTGGCGCTGAGGGTCGCGGCACGCGCGCAAGGCAGCGTAGCCCAACAGTCAGCACGTATGGCGACGGAGTGCCCTGCCGTTCTCAGTCGCTCCAAAGCAGGACAGCCTTACTTTGGTCGCCACGACGGACCCGGACCCGGACTCATGGCCTCTTGGGAGTCTGGCTATGACCATTGACTCTAGTGAAATGGTTCATTTTAGATTATTTGGACTCGAGTTCACCACTTTGAAAAGGATGACCTATGATTAACGGTGCGGACGCAAAACACCGGCACTCGGGCTCGGGTACTGACCCAACGGTCCTCGACACCAGCGGTTCGGACCAAACGTATAGTTCTCACATAAGGTCCCAACTGCGATTATTCTAGTATTCAAGAATAAGTACTAAGTACAAGCAGTGGTGCTAAGCGCAAGTGGTAGTACTATGTACAAGGATTAGTGTACGCTAGTGGTAGTAAGTAGTCATCAGAAGTACTCGAATAGCAGAGCAAAGGCAAACCGAGTAACGCTTAGTATACACCTGCTGAACAAGTGACGTGCAAGAGGGAGATGCGTAGTGGATCTACTAAAATTTGCTTCGTTATTTGGGCAAGGTTTGCTTCGGACGGTTTGGGCTAGGTTTGTCAAAGCTGGGTAGTCTCGGCCGCTCCCCGAAGCTTTAGCGTTGGTCGTTCAAACTTTGTAGAGGATATAAACAAATGTCTTCGACACGATGACAATTTGATTCCGACTTGGTGGGGTGCCAGGTAGAGGTTGAGTTAGACTGAGCTGGTCGCGAGTAAACTTAATCTCCGGTAGCAGTACTTGCCGCAGGGACTTGGACTCGCGTCTACGTCCAAAGACTCCGGGTCGGATGCGGCTGAGTCGTGAAAACAGCCTGGCCTGGGCTCGGGGCCCACGTAATGGCGAGGATGGACTTTTCTCGGGGTTGTCCCCCAGCCTCAGGATTTATACTCAGGTCCTTGCGTTCACACTAACGGCCGTTGACGGTGTGGAGTCCGGAGGACAGCGGCCGTGCGCTGCAGGGCCTCTCCCACCCGTGTGGTGGGGCACGGGTTCGAGTACGGCCCCGGCAGCCTCTGAGCGCCGACAGGGCCACCGCATTCGCTGGTGGTCCATGAGACGGTACGCGAAGGTGTGCGACGCATTGCAGTCAGTCAGTTTCTTTGCGACTTCGTAGTTTTTTCGTCGAGCGGTAATTCTCCGGATGTAGAGCCTCGTAACGCTAGGGCCGGTTCCCCACAATGACGACCCTGTCCAAACGCTGAGACGACGGCGCGGTTCAAACGAACCGAAAGCGACGGGTCAATGAGCGTGTATTTCACGAGTCACAAACAGTCCGATCAGTGTGCAAGAATGTTACAACTGGCAAATCAGCACCTCCAGCAGACCCCTCCCCCGCAAAAAAAAAAACATCATCATGCCGCTGCCGGGCGCCGCGATTACCGGGTCATGCCGGGTACTGCTCAGCGTTATCCGCTCCCGATCGTTACGAAAACAGACACGTGTCACGTGATGGACTCCAGCAGCCATTCGGCGAGGAAACACGTGCCATGATGAAATCGAGGGCGTCAAAGTGCCTTTCCGCTGGAGTGACGTTTACCACACGTATGTACATCACGAGTACGTGAACCTACGCCCTCACACGCGGATGGCAGACAGTTCTGTGACCACGCACTGGCCTTCCCGCTATCCCGCCGTCAGAAAAAGCTGACGGCGGATCTTGCGCGCCACAGCCTTTGTCTCCCTCACCCCCCCCCCCCTTCATGTATACAGTCTTTTTTACCAGCAACATTTGGCAAACGTGTGTGCTTGGTGGACGGAGGGCAGCCGGTATCTTTGGAGTTGGGAGGTCGTGTCCTGAAAGCCCTCGATACTGTATTGCTGGGCGAATCCTGGAGGGCGCCTTGCTGATGTGCGATGCATGTTTGTGTGTGCGCGTACGATGTGCGAAACGCGCGATGCATTCCCACGTGCGCACTGCCGCGTGGGCGCAATTCACGAGCATAGCAGTCTTTCACCGTGATATTTCACTAAAGATCACACGCACGGAATCTGAGAAAATACCCCTACAACACAGTGAGTTAGTTAAGTACCGAATATTCTATCAGACCGCCCTTCACCGTCTGCCGGCTCCTGAAAGAACTACGATACCACCATAGCACGTCCCATCTAACACGCGCTCGCAGTATACACAGGTACGCACCGTGTCCCCGCAGGGACACCGCGTCCTCCACGGGGTGAGGAGGGCGCGCGGGCCGCGCTCACAGCGAGCCGTCCGTGAGCCGGATGTCCCGGATGTGGAACACCGAGTCGTCGATCTCGCCGTGCACCACCTTGCCGTCGACGAACGTGACGCACTGGATGCCGGCCGCCGGAGGGCGGGCGACGGCAGCGGCGGTGGCGGCGGGGGGGACGGGGGGCGGGTCGGCCCGGCGGCCGGCCTCCTCGCCAGAGGGCGGACTGAGCCGGCGGCCCAGCAGCGGCCGCGGCTGCGGCCGCGCGCTCTCTGACGGACGCCTCTGCGGGCTCGGCGGCGGCGGCTGTGCAGCGGCCTGCCCCATCTCGGGCGACGCGGGCCGCCGGGCACTGTCCGCCGCCGCCGCCGGCGGCGGCGGCGGCGGCGGCGACTCGGCGCCGGCGCCGGTGCAGTGCGCGTCCCAGCCGCCGGTCGGGGGAGACCCCTGGAGGCGCGGTGCTGCGCTCGCGACCGATGGAGGGCCGTACCCCGCCGGTGACGGGGGCTGCGGAGGGAGTGCGGTAGGGAGGAGAGGGCATGTTCTGCGGCGGAGTGCTGAAGACGCCCGGCGACGGGCCCTGGGTGCAGGCGGTGTACACCGAGGCGGGTAGGTTCCGCGGCGGCGAGCCATAGTGCGCTGGGAGAGGGCCCGGGGGCGGCGCGCCGTACGCCGTGGGAGCGGCGTTCTGCGGGACTGCACCGTGCGGTCCCGGCGGCGGACCTGGCGGCAGCGTGCTGTACGACAGCGACGGCGGGGTCTGATGCGGCGTGCCGTACGACACAAGGGGAGGACCCTGCGGCGGTGGACTGTACGGCGTCAGGGGCGGGGTGGCGCGCGGCGCCGTGGCGTACACGGGAGCTCTTCCCGCCCCCGGCACGCCGTACGGCAGCGGCGACGAGCCGTGCGGCGGCAGGTCGTAGCACGTCGCTCGCCCCGTGCTGTACACCAGCGGCGGTCCCTGAGGCGGCGCTGCGAACGCCACGGCAGCCGCGGCGTCGTACGAGCCCCGTGTCGTCACACCGTACCCCGCCGCCGCCGCGTACGGCCCGTCCGGCGCGCTCGGCGCCGCTCCGAACGCGGCCAGCTGCGAGAGATCGCGCGCCACGGCCAGCACCGCGCTCGGGTCGCAGACGGGCCGCGTGTCGGCGGCCGGCCGCAGCGAGGAGCCGGCCGGTGGGAGGCCGGGTACCTCGGCCGGGTAGCCGCGCGGCCCGCCGCCGCCGCCGCCGCCGCCGCCGCCGCCGCCCGCCGGTGGTCGGCCGGGGCTCGGAGGCGCGTCTCCGGCGGCACCGCTCAGCAGAGCGCTGATGGGAGATACGCTGCCGGCGCGCTCCAACGAGCCGTCGGACGCGGCCTGAGAGAGCCCGACCAGCTCGGGCTCATTCAGCAGGCTGTCCTCGAACGCGGCGTCCTCCTGCAGGTGGTGGTTCGCGCCACACGCGTCCTCCGGTCGGCCGCTTTCGCGGGTGGCGTCCTCCCGGAAGTGCTCATCGTGGTGAGATTTCCCCTGACCGACATCGTCTCCGGTGCGCTCGTCATCCCGCTGGCAGTGCAGCGCATCGCCGCGCGGCTCCTCCTCCTCCTCCTCGTAGTCCTCGTCCTCGGCGTCGTCCGCCTGGCGCTCGTCGCTGCGCCGGTCCTCCCGCCGCCACTCGCCAGGGCGTGGCTCAGCCGAGGTCCACGCCGCCGTCTCCGCCGGCCGACCGTTGACCGTCTCGTACGGCGCCTCGCCGTCAGGCCGGCCCCGGCCCCGCCCCCGGCCGCCCCGCCGGCGCCGGCGGGGCACTGCAACAGCGACCGGACCGTGGAGCGAGCGGGCAAAGGCAGCCGTCAGCAGCGCAGCGCCGGCAAAGGCCAGTGTATTCATATTCGAGTTATCTAGTTGGCAGCGGTCCGAGTCGGCGGTAGGTTCTCGGATGAGGTACGTATGATACAATGTGGGGACACGCACTTTACGGGGAGTTGACCGCATATGAAGCCAGTGCTTAAAAGTGCGATATAATATGGCATATATATATATATATAATATATATATATATTATATATATATGTAAACATATATATATATATATCATATATATACATATATATATATATATATATATATATATATATATATACACGTATCACACACACACACACACACACGCACACGATATATGTATGCCTAGGGAGCAGGCTTCCACGAAAACACTGTTCTGCATGCTTTGAATTGCACTGACGTTACATTAGATCTGGTGCAAACAGATGTAGCAGCAACATAACAATAAACTGTCGTGCCAGTTTTCGCGCCAGTCAGTACCAGTACCAGACAGTTAGAAACCTGTCCTTCCGACACACAAAAAACGCGGAGCGGAGCAACAGCGGCATGGATAGTCAGTCCTCGACCAAAGCTGCAGACGAGGTTAGACACAAGACGGATCCGGCAGACGCGGATCGAAGCCCGGGAGTGGGAATAGCAGCATGCTTCGGTCGCGAAGACCATGCGGAGCTCCAGCCGCCCAAGCAGGCGGCCGTGAGCGGCATGCGAGGCGCTCATGCGGAGGCCGAAGCACCACCACAAGGAAAACGCGCCATCTCCGCTCGCTATGCTTGTATTGGAACGGCGCTAGTACAGAGTAATGAGGCAGGCAGGACAGCAATGCGTATGGCTTAGTGCGAGACAAAACCGCAACGAAAGCGGTGTAGAAAGGCGAACGGTGCAGAGCGAGCGCACACCC